TTTAGGGTTTAGGGACTAGGGTTCAGCGCCCAAAAGCTTGGGTCCCAAACTCTCAAACCCCAAACCCTATGAACCCACACCCCAAACTCTAAACATGTCTGGGCCTTGCCCGACCCCAAAGCGAAAGCCCGGATCTTCTTGGGCTCTGAACCCTAAACCCAGAAAGAAACCCTANNGAAGACCTGAAGCCTAAACCCTAAACCCTAAGCCCTAAACCCTGCACCCTATCGATCCCGGTAAGCCCTCGAAGTTGCTAAATCCTACACCATACATCCCAAAGCCTTAAGCCGAAAAGATGCTTTCCGGAAGCCTTGTAAGCGTTTCTACGCGACGTGTTTCGAGCCCAGTACCCTAAACCCTAAACCCTCAACCCCTCAACCCCTCAACCCTCAACCCCTAAACCCCTAAACCCTCAACCCCTAAATCCCTCAACCCCTCAACCCTAAACCCCTAAACCAGAGACCCTAAACCCCTCAGGCGACATGCCAGAGTGGGCAGCACTGCGAGCCCCTGCGAAGCCACCGTCGGCGAGATCGAAAGGTGGGGTTCGGACCTTTAGGGTGCGTGGGCTTTAGGATTTAATGATTTAATGGTTTAGGGTTTAGGGGTTTAGGGGTGTAGGGTTTAGGGTTTAGTGGTTTAGGGTTTAGGGGTGTAGGGGTTTAGGGGTTTAGGGTTTAGTGGTTAGTGGTTCAGGGTTTAGGGGTTTAGGGGTTTAGGGGTTTAGGGTTTAGGGGTTTAGGGGTTGAGGCGTTGAGGGGTTGAGGGGTTTAGGGTTTAGGGTTTAGGGGTTTAGGGTGTGGGGGTTTGGGGTTTAGGGTTTAGGGGTTTAGGGTTTCTTTCTGGGTTTAGGGTTGAAGCCTGAACTACTGGTGCTATTAGGCCTGGATGTGGTGATAAATTGTCCGGTTTAGGGCTTCCGTTTTTAGGCGTTACCCATCGTCTCCATTGTAGTGTCCTGGCTTGTTTAACCTATTGTATTTAGGACTCCATAAGGCAACCACAAAAAGGAACCACAATGCAGACTATGGGTATTTCGAAACACAATCCGCATATGAAGCCAGCTCTGGTTTGGCTTCCTGTAAAGAAAAAATGAAAGCGAATGGTCGCCTCAACGCGACAAGGAGAAACGAAGAAGATGGAAAGCGGACGACCGCGAGGCGAAAAAAGCCAAAGTGGTGAAGAGGAAGAGGCCCCTCGCTGGGGAGCCGCAGCACGAGCTCAGGGCAGAAAGCTCGATCAAGGTCACTAGCTGTGCAGCTGGGCAGCGGTTGGAAGTCGCAACCCGAGCCATTGGCTTCCTTTGCAATCGGCATCTGCGGGGTATTACCTGTGGGTCCAGCCACTTATTGTGGTACTATGGGGTCGGAACCCATAGTCCGCAGGGTTTGGGACTACAGGTAAGAATTGGTAGCTGAACGTTGATTGCCCTTTAATTTGAGTTTTGTTGACGTCAGCTCCGGGTGGGTTTGTACCCCTTGTACACCTTCCGATTCGGGTTTTGTGTCTAGGTTTCGAGGAGTATCCAAGGACCACGGGACCCCACCACGAAACATTATTGACATGAAAGAATGAAGTAACTATTGATTAGTTTAACCTAGTAATCAACTGGCCGGAAAGTCAGATGACTCATTTGCTCGTTTACAGTTTCCCACCGCAAGATGTCTTGCTGCGTGAGGCTTAGGCTTAGACCCTGCACCCTAAATTCCTAACAAGACTTGTTGACAGGGAATCCTCAAGCACACTACTAGTATTGAAACTTAAATAATTACCCATTGTATTCCTTAGGTTCCTTATTATAGTTATACTATGAAGGATATTCGAATGATTAAGGTCCCTACATTAAAACCTTCTTGGAGCTCTCAAATCCGAAGCACTGTTAAACCCCAGAGGCTCTAAGCCAAACGCCCAAGGCCCCTTTGGAGTTTGCAATCCCGGGACACCTTATCAAAACTCTACAAAGCCCCCCCCAAAAACCTTACATCCTGGGGCGGTTGGGTAGTTCTGCAAAATGAGCGTTCCTTCTAGGGTCCTTTTTATAAGGGTGCTCTGGTCGCATTTTGGGGGACCTACAAAGGGACCCTATTTTAGAGAACTACCCGATTCTTTCCTCGTATAGTTCCAGCGGCCCAGAAACCACATCACAACTTTCGGGATGAGGGTACCGAGCGGGAAGGAATGCTTGACAACGGCTTACTGTTATAACCTTAAACCCTAAACCCGAAACCCTTTATCCCTAAACCATAAACGATTAGGGTTTTCGGGACACCGTTTAAATTCGAGAGAAGGTCGTCTTTTGGACATCCAAAGAGTGTACAAGCAGCGTTCCTGAAGTAGTTGAGATTCTTAAGCCTTTAGGGTTTAGGGTTTAGGGCTACATCCTTAGGCCCGTACCCTTGAGATCGCAAAATCGCTGAACCTCCTGATGTAGTACGGTCCTTCCAACCCCAATCCCCTAACATCAAATCTCAACAGCCCGAAAGCCTAAACCCTAAACGATCATATGATGGCACCCCGTTATCGCCGCCGTGCCGCCATTACCAACGATGAGTAGGCACTTTCAACAGTTATTACTGTTGCAGCGGCACAGGCAGGGATCACACCCTACAGCATTCCAAGTGGTCCTGCACTTCCCACTCCTTCGGAGGAGTGGCATGATGTTACAGTACGGTGCGGAGGAAAAGCTTTAAATTAAGGCTTTACTTTCAGATCTTAGGACTGCCTGCTTGGACTCGGTATGCCTTCGACTTTCAGCATGTAATGTGGTGTCAGTTCTTCTGCACCCGACCGGTTGCGGGCTTGTGCTTGGAGAACCCTTTTAAGAACTCTTGTAGAAGCTTCCTACTGAAACCGTAAGAGCTGACAGAAACCCTTCGCGAAACCTTTGCAGGAACCCATTGCAGGAACCCATAAATGAATCCTTAGAGGACGCAGCGCAGACTCTTGAACGACGCCGGGAGAGCCTCAAACCATAAGCCCTGTAGACCTATAGGGGCCGAAATCGCTAATATTTTACATAGGTTCTTTTTTTTAAAAAAACTAAATCATAAACAATTAATTGTACCGTCAAGCCTTATTCTAGCCATTTAGGCCCCTATATGAGGCAACTGGAATCTTGCGCCTTGACCTGTAAGAACCCTTATAGAGATCCCTCAAAGCTGCAAGCCTTCCGATGAAGCCCCACAGATAATGTAGGGGCCTGAATGATTACGACTACTATTGTTGGGGGGTTCCTTGTTAGAATTATAACTACTATTGTTGGGGGGTTCCTTGTTAGAATTATAGCAGAATGGGCCCCAAGACCCTATTCTAAATATTCAGGCTCCTATAGTACCTCGGCCGCTGGGCTCTTTGGATTCTTGTTGGCAGGCGGCGCGCCCACATCCAAAGCGGCAGCTGCGAGTTCTCCCTTCACCGCCAAGCTGGGGACTCGGGTTTAGGGTTTAGGGGAGAATGAAGCCCTTACTGCCCCGAACATGATAGAGGAGCTTGAGTAATTTAGCACTATACTAAGTCCTCCTTTAGGGTTCTTCATAGATTTAAACAGACGATGATATGCTGTACCACCCCAACGCCTTATTCTAAATATTAAGGCCGCTATATTAGAGATTGACTTGGTCTTCTTTTCGTTTACATCCCCACATAAAAAGGCGTGGTACACAGCAGATCTGACCGGGGTATATATCCAGCTAGAGATCGAGGCTTTTGCTGCTGCTTCTCCCTCCACGGCATTCAGGAGATAATATAGAATCCTACATAGTTACCTATATTCTTCCTTAGGGTTCCTTACTACAGTTGTAGTAGAACGGGCCCCAAGACCCTATTCTAAGTATTCAGGCCCCAAAATTACCTGTTGAACACGTCCGAATAGGTCGCATGACACCCATAATCTCCATCCTAGCTCCTTTTTTGATTTAGCCTATCTTAAGCATCCTATAAGGTAACCCGGAAAAGGAACTGCAATGGAGACTACTAAACCCTGAACCCTAAACCCTAAACCCCTAAGCCCCTAAACCCTAAACCCTAAACCCTAAACCCTAAACCCCTAAACCCCTAAACCCTAAACTCTTAAACCCCTAACCCCTAAACCCTAAACCCTAAACCCTGAGCCCTAAACCCTAAACCCATCATAGATCGGTACATGGGTGCTGCTGCAGAGGGAACTCGCAGGGTCTAGGATTGAAGTTTAGGCCCAACTTGTGGTCTCAAACCCGTTTAGGGTTTGGGCATTAGGGTGTAGGGTTTAGGGTTTAGGGTTGAGGGCATTAGAGTTTAGGGTTTAGGGCTGAGGGAATTTTGGTTTAGGGTTTTGGGTTGAGGGAGTTGGGGTTTAGGGTTGAGGGCCATGACCTCATCAGTATCAATACAAAGATCTAAAAGTAACGCCCATGCAGCTTTGTTGATGGATCCAGACATAGACCCTAACAAGCCCGTGTCCCGCAAAATCATGCAAGCGTGCTGCGCTGCACCGCAGTCCTATACAAACTCTGTCATTGCCTAGGCCTATACCCCACATGCCCGAAACACGCAAGCATTCTTGCCTGAGCCCCCTGCCACCACGGCTCTGAACCTTAACCCCCAAACCCTAAACCCCTAAGCGCTTACGCCCTACCCCCCTAAGCACCTGAACACCTAAACCCCCCTAGACCCCCTCAACCCGAAACCCTGAACCCCTACAAACCCAAAGCCCTAACCCCAAACCCCCTAAACCCTAAACCCTAAACCCCTAAACCCCTAAACCCCTAAATCCCTAAATCCCCTAA